TATTGTCTGTGTTCCTTTCTGGTCTATGTTACTTTTAGGCTCTCTGCTTAGAGGACCCCGTTCAATATTTCTTCTAGGGCTGGTTTGGTGTTTGCACGTTCTTTTAGTTTTTGTTTGTCCTGGAAGCTTTTTATCTCCCCTTCTATTTTCAATGACAGCCTTGCTGGATATAGTATTCTTGGCTGCATATTTTTCTCGTTTAGTGCTCTGAATATATCATACCAGTTCTTTCTGGCCTGCCAGATCTCTGTGGATGGATAGGTCTGCTGCCAATCTAATGTTTCTACAATTGTACTTTACAGACCTCTTGTCCCAGGCTCCTTTCAGGATTTTCACGTCTCTGAGACTTGTGAGTTTTACTATTAGATGTCATGGTGTTGACCTATTTTTACTGATTTTGAGGGGATTCTCTGTGCCTCTTGGATTTTGATGCCTGTTTCCTTCCCCAATTAGGGAAGTTCTCTGCTATAATTTGCTCCTATATACCTTCTGCCCCTCTCTTTCTTCTTTTTCTGGGATCCCAGTTATTCTAATGTTTCACTTTATGGTATCACTTATCTCTCGAATTCTTCCCTCATGATCCCATGGTTATTTATCTCTTTTTTCTAGCTTCTTTATTCTCCATCATTTGGTCTTCTGTATCACTAATTCTCTCTTCTGCCTCATTTATCCTAGCAGTTAAAGCCTCCATTTTTGATTGCACCTCATTAATAGCCTTTTTGATTTCGACTTGGTTAGATTTTAGTTCTTTTATTTCTCCAGAAAGGGATTCTCTAGTATCTTCTATGCTTTTTTTTCATGCCAGCTAGTATCTTTATAATTGTCATTCTGAACTCTAGTTCCAATATCTTACTAATTTCTGTATTGATTAGGTCCCTGGCTGTCGGTGCTGCCTCTTGTCCTTTTTTTTGAGGTGATTTTTTTCCGTCTTGTCATTTTGTCCAGGGGAGAATAGATGAATGAGAGAACAAAATGCTAAAAGGGTAACAACAACCCCAGAAAAATATACACTAAACAAATCAGAAGAGACCTGAAATGGGAGGGAAAAGAATGGGGAAAAAAAAAAGAATATGATCAGGCTGGTGAATAGAACAGAGCCACACACTAGATTTTGGGTGTATTTTGGTCTGTTAGAAGAAATTGCCTCCCAACATTTTAACGAAAGAAAAACATAGAGAGAAAAATAAGAGTAAATATGATGAAAGGATGGAATATGACTGTAAAGATGAAAATTTAAAAAGATTTTATGGGGCGCCTGTGTGGCTCATTCGTTAGGCGTCTGCCTTCAGCTCACAGCATGATCCTAAGGTCCTGGGATCGAGGCCTGCATCGGGCTCCCTGCTCGGTGGGAAGCCTGCTTCTCCCTCTGACCCTTCCGCCTCTCATGTGCTTTCTCTCTCATTCTCTCTCTCTCAAATGAATAAAATCTTTAAAAAAAAGAATTGCTACTATTCTTTTCTTCAAGCTCCTGTTGAGTTTGTAGATGTTCTGAATGGTTTGATAACTATCTAGGTGAATTCCTAGGACCAGACAAAATTTAGGTCTCCTACTCTTCCACCATCATGCTCCTCCCCGAAATTTGTTTTTATTAACTACTATTTCAGGAGTTTCACAGTCCAGAACAGATGTTGATTCATTATAAATGAAGTAATTTTGAGGTATTTTTTAAAAGTAAACAATTTATAATATATTCTTTCTACAAGAAAACTAAGGTAATTCAGAAAGGTAGAGATTACAAGGGTCTCCTTGTTACTTCTCTAGCCTTGAAAAAAACCTCTTTTAATAGGTAGATGTTTATCCATATTTTTTTGATGTACAGGAGTTTGTGTGTATGTGTGTTTTATATATAATGAAATACATATTTCTACCTCTGTTTCTTTTTTTTTTAGCATGATTGATTTACTCTATATGTGTTTTGAAGATTTGAAATGAAAGAAATGCCATATTTTGACCACGAATGTTACTATCTACAGGAAGCAAGGATAGGATGTTTCAACATTAGAAATTCACCACATTACCAAAGAGAAAAAGTTGCATAATCACCTCAGTAGATGCTAAAGACATTTGCTAAAATTTAATACCTTCTCTTTACAAGTTGAGGCAGAAAAACATACTTGATTTCTTTGCTGTTCTGGAAGTAACATTCGTGTGTGTGTATGCGTGTTTATCACAAACTCAATACAAATTAATTGAAAAATGCATTAAAATATCATCTGTGATTGAACTACTGAGATTATGCATATATACTTTCTCAGAATCACTGTGTAGTTTGCTAATGAATTTATTTTATTTTTGTCATGTCATTTCATGTTTTTCTCCAAAGGCATATGGTATGGAACAATTATGTTTTAACCATTTACTTATGTTAGGACATTTAAGTTATGCACATCCTATGTTACTTGTCTGAAGATATTTCTTAGGATAGAGTTAAATATTCTGGACAATGAGAGTATATGAAATTTTTTTCTCTCTATTGTGAATTTGCCCTTCTGAAAATTACTGTAGCAATGGTCTATGAGAGAGTTCATTTACATATGTGACATGTTAAGAGAAAAAAAAACAATTGGAGATAATTACATTAATTGTTGTATATAAGATAACCAAACCTTTCACATTGTGTAGGTGTTTTTAAAAATGGCCTTTTTTTTTGACTCCTCAGAAAACCAGACAAACAAAACAATAGATGCTTCTGTTAATAAGAAAGCAGCTGATAGCACATCACAGGTAAGATTTCTTCTTTGTTTCAAAGTAAAATTCTAATTACAGTCCACATGATAATGGATTTCCATCCAATAATTTTTAATACAATGAAAATTATTCTAATTTAGTACTCATACTTTTCAGACCTAGAATTTCTATTTTTGTTTTCCAGTTTCTACTTTTGAGATTTCTTGTACATTCATTAATATTATATTTTCCTTTATTTCTCTGAATATATACTTAAAAGATGCTCGAAGTCTTTGCTGAATTCAACATCTGGTTCCACTTGGAGTAATTTTCTTTTGACTGTCTTTTGTCCTTAGTTGGGTTCTACTTTACTGGGGTTCTGCATGTTTGTGTAATAATTTTTGGTAAATTTAAAATTTAGTAAATTTTGAAAATTGGACCTTATAAATACATTGCAGCAAGTAGATTCTCTTACATTCTTTAAGAATTTGTTAACTTTTAGATTTTAGATTGTTGTGTTAGTTAACAAATCATTTTGTATTAAGTCGTCATCATAGAAAGATTTATAATTGTAAGATTTAGAATTACATCACTATTTTTGGATTGGGCCTGAATTTTTCAATGTCAAGGAATTATTTTCTTCAATTATGTAAAGTCTGAATTTTGCAGTTGAAAACCTTAATCATCTGGAGCTGATCTCAGTATAGTATGTTATAAAGTAATTATGATTAGTATTTATTACACAGCACATGTTATGCCTGGTGTTAAGCTCTTTGTCTGTATATTTGGTTTGATCCTCATTACAGACCCCATGTCTGGAGTTTGGAAATTGAGGATCTTATCTTTTAACATAAATTCACATTGCTAATATGAGCTGGAACTAAAAGATGCCGTCAGTCTTTTTGACTTAAAGATACTGGTTCTTTAGGTCTGTATTGTACTGTTGTTGCTATTATGTAGTTAAAATTTTTTTTTAAATTACATTTCTAATGATTTGGGACAATAGATTGACTTAGGTCAGGTTGGATGTCAGTGAGGTATGGTGTAGCACACCATATCTTACCATAGCATACCTTTTTTTTAGGGGGAATAACATAGATTATTTTATATAACTTAATTCTAGCTTTGAAGTTGCCTTTGGTGTTTTGGTGAATTAATATTGATAATTTAGTGTGGTATTGGTCAACATTTTAATTGCTGGAAAATGGTGTTTGTGTTGAATAGCCCTATGCAATGGACAAATTAAAAGGAAAACTTTTAGAAATTCTTGCAAAAGTCTTTCAAAATTATTTTCTGTATGACAGATGTATAGCTCATGAGTATTCGGGGTCATTTGTCTGACAAACTCTGTTTTTTCAAGGAATGCCATTTAGTGGTCCAGATGAATCAGCCTACTCATTTTCCTTGTTGCCCCTTAGTATTATTTCATTTTTCCTTTATGTCTGCTAGTTTCCTTTGCAAAATGCAGAGGTTTTGTTTTTCAGAGTGGAAAAGCCACAGGCAGTGATTCAGGTGGTGTCATTGATCTCACAATGGATGATGAAGAGAGTGGAGGTTCACAAGGTACTTATAAGTAATTGTACCAGTACCAAGGAATGTGTTGATAACATTTTTTCCTTTTAATCCAGTGTAGTAATCAGTGAAGACAGATCTCTACAACATTATGCTTGATGACAGATCTCTACAACATTATGCTTGATGTATTTGTATCTATTTTATCTATTTTAGTATAAGAGTTTTTATATTATGCCATATAGTGGTTAACTCTTTTTAAGGGCTTCGTCTGAGATGCAAACATTTATTCCATAGGCTGTCCTATATCTTTTTTGAGATTAGACACTCTATGTGTATCTTATTTTAATGACTGGATAGTGTAAATAAGCAACCATCTATATTATCAAACAAAAGAACCTAAACAGCAGTAGAGTAATTGGAGTTCAAGATCACTGATAAAAAAAACTCATCAATTTATAGGTGTTTGCTTAGGAGAATGTACTGGCTATAGGTAATAGATACATAGATGTGTATGAATATAGGAAATGAAATTATTCTGATTGACAGGATATTGTAATTGAGTTCAGTAATAGGATTCTTTCATGAAAAACAATGTACAATTATATTTCTATAAATGTGAATTAGAGTATGTGGTAGAATCAACAGTGAATTATTTAAGGCCGTGATGTGATGTTTTAACCTGGTAAATGTGCACATAATTAAAATAGAAATAAATTGTTCTCTTAGTGGTAAATGTGACTGAGTGGCAAGCACATGTAAAATTCACAAATAAAAGAAAAACCTGTATTTCTAATTTTTGTCTATCAATAATCACCATGTCTCACTTTTAATTAATAGACCCTAAAAAGCTAAACCATACTCCTGTGTCAACCATGGGTTCTTCTCAGCCTGTGTCTCGACCATTGCAACCCATCCAGCCTGCACCACCTCTTCAGCCATCTGGGGTGCCAACAAGTGGACCATCTCAGACAACCATACATTTACTACCTACAGGTAAACTTGACGAATCACTGAGTTGAAGCTTTTAGTTTTGCTTACAGTGAAATAGGACTATGGAAGTAAGTGGAAAGATTAGATAGAAAATTAAGGGTAATTCTCTGTTATTTTGAGGACAGTGCATCTTTTTGAATGTAGTATAACTTAGATTTGCTGACCATCTTAAGTAGCACCACTGACTGATACAGAGTGGTTATAAGGAAGAAAAATCACATGTTTTTGTCGTCTGCCACATAAGCAGGAAAATGAATATAGTTTCTTTTCAGGGGATGGCTATAATGATTCATTCTGATTATGACCACAAAGTAATAACTGATGAAGAAATAAATTTTAAATGATTCATAATGTGAACTAGTTTTAACTGGCCTAACACCACCATTTGGAGATATATACTAATGTTTTACACACTGCCTCTCAAGAAGTTATAAATCCTATATATTTTCAAGATGTAGCCTAGATCTCCTAAACTATTGGGAAGCCAACCAAGACAGTTTGTCTTTTTTTTTTTTTTAAGATTTTATTTATTTATGTATTAGAGAGAGAACATGCAAGTGGGGAGAAGAGTGTAGAGGGTGGGGGATAGAATCTTAAGCAGACTGTGGAGTGTGGAGCCCGACATGGGGCTCAATCTCACAACCTTGAATCATGACCTGAGCCAGAATCAAGAGTCAGACGCTCAACTGACTGAGCTACCCAGGAGCCCTAAGGCAGTTTGTATTTTTTTTTTTTAAGGATTTTATTTATTTATTTATTTATTTATTTATTTATTTATTTATTTATTTATTTATTTATTTATTTGACATAGCAGGAGAGCACAGTCAGGGGAAGCGGCAGAGGGAGAGTGAGAAGCAGGCCCCCTGTGGAGCAGGGAGCCTGATATGGAGCTTGATCCTAGGGCCCTGGGATCATGACCTGAGCTGAAGGCAGTCACTTAACTGACTGAGTCACCCAGGTGCCCGTCTTTTTTTTTTTTTTTTTAAAATAGCCCATCATTAGAGATTTATCTGCAAAATTATATATGGACTTTTCTCATTAAGGAAAACATTGAATTCACATGGAATTGTATCTAGTGAAATCAAAGTTTCAAGTCGCCAATTTATATAATTTAGAAGGAAATATCATTATGCAAACCATATGCATAATAGATAATAAAATGGGTAATAAAGAGTTGAAGAGGTAAGTATTCCTCCTTGTGTATTTTCTTCCCCTTTCTCACATTGAAAGTTCAGATATGTAAAGACTAAGGAAAGACATTAGTAAATAAGTAATTAGTAAAGAAACCTTTTTATCAGATGTCTCATATCCAGTGTTTACCTCCAAATTTGTTTTATTATGAAACCCATTTTTCTGTATGAAAGTAGATTTATTATTATCTTTTATTATATAGTTAATATGTGGTTATTTGTAAAATGTGATGATAATTCAGAGAGTTATTAATTCCTAAAATAATTATTGTAGTTCCATGCTGCCAGTGAACAGTTAGGACTTTTTGGATAAATATATGTTAACATCACTCAAGGCATGAATGTTCTCTGGAACATAAATTAGGAGGAATGCTGGAGTAAAGAAGGAAGAATTCTGTATTTTAATTGATGTTTTATTGTTTTGAATTAAGAGATGGTTTGGTTCACCTAAAGAAAATGTCTGTTACAATAGTCAGCCAGATAGAAAATTAAGGATAATTTCTTGAACTGTGGGAATACAGTTACTCCTGGATTTATGCCATTAGTAGAAGACCTTCAGGGCCCCAAATCCCACTCTACTAAGAATAATTAAACATTGAGGAGTGAAAATTTGCTCTTTTAAGTCACTCCCTTAAGATCATACTCTCAGGTCTTTATCTTTACATGCTTATCATCAAGTCAAACTGAAGAGTGGGGAGATCATTGGACATGGTTGAGGTGCTCTTTCCTTCTGAAGTTTGGATTGTAATAATAGTTACTATTAATTTTGGTTGGCCATAACACTCTTCTCTGTCAAGATTACAAAAGGAGACTGTTGTCTGTATTTCTCTCTTTATTATAGTTAGATTTTGTGCAAAATTAATCACCATTAATAACTGTTTACTTAACTGCATTTTAATGTTTTTCTGCTTTTCATTAGCTCCAACCACAGTGAATGTAACACATCGTCCAGTAACTCAGGTGACCACAAGACTCCCTGTACCAAGAGCTCCTGCAAACCACCAGGTGGTTTATACAACTCTCCCAGCACCACCAGCTCAGGCTCCCCTGCGAGGAACTGTTATGCAGGCTCCTGCTGTTCGGCAGGTCAATCCCCAAAATAGTAAGAGACTCTTTTCTTGTGTATGACCTCAAAGTTACATGTAGTTCTTCAGCATTTAGTAGGCTTATACTGACATTAGATTTAGCAAAAAAAAAAAAAAAAAAAATGCTTATTATATTAAAACTATTGACAATTTTTCTTCTTCCCTTAGGAGAGTTAACCAGAAAAATTGGACATGTGTATCAAATGATTTGTGCTCCATGTGTTGTCTTCAATTTAATTTTATTTATGGCCTGTATTATCACAATGCTCTATTTGATAGTGGTCTGCACTCTCTTAAGAGATACCTTACCTAATTAAAGTGGGAATGATTAATTGTGGCATAGCCCAGATAATGGAAATGTTGGTTAAGGATAGCCTCCAATGAGAGAGAATCTTAAGGGTGTGGAAGATGGCTGAGAAATAGAAGACAGGAATATGTTAAAGGAAATCTATTGTTTCTACACACACACACACACACACACAGATATATACACACATATATATAATTTTATATATATACTGTATTTAGTGGTAAAATATAGCATATAAACAGAAGTTTATATAAAAAGTATATGTAAAGTTTAAAGAAAACTAACAAAATGAACCACCTATGAAATCTCCACCAGTCTAAGAAATAGAGCTTTATCAGTATCCTACAAGCCTACTGTTGGCCTTCATTGTATCCCTCTCCCTTTTCATCAGAGGTAGCCACCATCTTCACTTTCTGCTTTTGTGTATGATTTTGCCACCAAATAAATATCACCAAAAATATTTAGTTTTGCAAAATTTAATAGCAAGGGCAAATCTAGCTGTTTAAAGAAACTGCCATTATTAGGTGATGATTTCGAGGAGAAAATAAACTAAGCAGAGTCTCTGGTTCACAATCTGGCTTCAGTTTTTCTCAAGTTTACAAGAGCGTTTTTTGGGAAATCAGTTAGTAGGGTCGTGAATGAGTTCTGGGAAACTGGGCTCACTATAGTCAGGGTACCTGGCAGAACTATAGTATGGGCCAGGAACTGAATATATGGCAGTAATATGGTCCGGGCAGTAGTTGATTTAAAATTGTCTGTTTCTGTTACCCTAACGTATGTCAGAATAGTTTTCTCTTCAGTGAATTGAGTATCCTCAGCTGTTCACGGAATGGAGAGAAAGTGAGGAACCTCATTAACATGAACCAAGGATAACGAGCTTATAGTCGAGCTTTCTGTTCTAGTTGAAAAGATGAGACAGCTGAGGTTTTGTTTTGTTTTTTTTTAAGATTTTTATTTATTTGAGAGAGAGACAGAGATAGCGAGAGAGAGTACACGAGTGTGGAGGAGAGGGAGAAGCTGGCTCCCCAGTGAGCAGGGAGCCCGACATGGGGCTTGATCCCAGGACCCTGGGATCATGACCTGAGCTGAAGGCAGTTGCTTAACCGGCTGAGCCACCCAGGGTGCCCCAAGCAGAGATATTTTTGAGGACAGCTTCAATTTGTCTACCTTTAGAGTTACACCACTCCATTCTGGCCTGTTTGACTTCTACATGTGGTGTACCACTGTGTTCTACTGTTCTGGGGTTTTTGCTTATAGTCCTCCTGGTAGGGATTCCATTTATTTCTCTTATGTGCTGGATCTCCACTGTTTCTTGCATCTCATGTTTTCCTCTTTCTTGATTTTCACTCTCATAATTGGTGGCACACATCCTCCAAAGGCTACTTGAGAAAGGGTTTATAGAGAGATTTTTTTTGGTTGCTTGCATACAGGAACATTTCTTCCTCCTCATGCTTATTATTTGGTTAATGGTAGACTTCAAGGTTAGAAATGTTTTTCCTTCCAAATTTTAAAAACATCACTTTGCTGGCTTCAAGTGTTTAATCTGTGTTCTACCAAATTTAGACTAGAAATCTAGGGTTTTTGTTTGTTTGGTTGGGTTTTTTTAGAGAGGGAGAGAGATGGGGGGAAGGGCAGAGGGAGAAAGAGAAACTTAAGCAGGCTCCATGCTCAGCACAGAGCCTGATGGAGGGCTTGATCTCACAACCCTGAGACCATGACCTGAGCCAAAATCAAGAATCAGACGCTTAACTGACTGAGCCCCTGAGGTGTCCCTAGAATTCTAGTTTTATGCCTTAATTTTCTTTTGTAGGTGTCACAGTTCGAGTGCCTCAAGCAACTACATATGTTGTAAACAATGGACTAACCCTGGGATCAACAGGACCTCAGCTCACAGTGCATCACCGACCACCACAAGTGCATACTGTAAGTGTTGATGTTTGGATTTCCAAACTTTTCAACCATAGAGCTGTCAAATATTATTGTAGTTAGCATTTATCCTTCAACCTAGTTTATCAAGAGGTAATGACAGGTCTTCTGTTTTTCCAACAGAAGTTTATTTAAGAAATAGATCTTACCATTACGAACAAATGTTCTTAGGGATGGTAGTCATCAAGGATCACTGAGTTTGCTTGTGGTGGTATACAGTGTTCAAGAAGCATCCATACCTGGGGCATGTGAAGTAAAATAGACAATTTTTTAACTCATGGTTACATTAAAAGAGTATTATAAAAAGTGTTATTCATGTTCTAGCTTTATTCTTTCCCTCAAAACCTTATAGCAGGTCTAACTGGTATATTGCCATCACTTTATTGTTTTTAATAATCCAATGGTATTGGGAATTCATTTGTTAAGAAATGACAGAGAAGATCAAAGATGTCGTCTTAGATTTAGGCTCCAAAACAATGTCACATTATTCTGTGACATGATTATAACAGTATTTGGTATGGTATACCATGTAAATGGAAATGCTGGCTTTATGAGAAGGGAGGAAATTGAGATTTCATATCACTTTTCACGAAGCAAAGAGTCCCTTTTTAAGTATGCATAATAATTACTAGCATTTCTTGAGTGCTTGCTGTGTGCCAGGCACTGTAAATATACTTGGTCCTCAGGAATCCTTTTAGGAGTCTTGCTCTCCTTTTTTATTCTTTATTATAGATATGGCAGCTTATACACAGAGAGTAACCAGCCCAAGGTCATACCTCATAAAAACTCATGCATTCCAGCTTTCTAGTCTATCCTCTTAATAGCTGTTATTTTTCTTACTCCACTACAATGAAAAAATTAATGTTAATGGAGCACTAACTATATACCAGGCACTCTACTAAGTACATGTATTATTTTATTTAATTCTCACATCCCTATGAGGATTATTATTCTCCTTTTGATAGAAGAGGATACCATGTCACAAAGATGTTAAGTGGTTACTCAGGTTACTCAGTGTCATTACCCAAGCTAATGTCAGAGCCATTTTAACACAGGTTGTCTGATCCCAGCACCTGCAGTGTTTTCAGTGTTTCAAATCTGGCCCTGTTAGAATATGTGGTCAATATATCATTACTGTTGTTTGCAGCTACAAATAATTTCTTTCATTCCATATTCCTTCAAAAAATATAGAGTAAAAATCTCTTAATTTTTTAAAATTTTTTTTAAGATTTATTATTATTATTTTTATTTATTTGACAGAGAGAGAGAGACAGCGAGAGAGGGAACACAGGGGGAGTGGGAGGGGGAGAAGCAGGCTCCCAGCAGAGCAGGGAGCCCGATGTGGGACTCAATCCCAGGACCCTGGGATCATGACCTGAGCCGAAGGCAGATGCTTAACTGACTGAGTCACCTAGGCGCCCCATAGTTTTACAAATTTGAGGACCTATCAAGAGCTTTTTTTCAAAAAAACAGGAGCCCATGTGTATTGTCTTATAATAAACTGTGTATCTTACAGGAGGAACTTTTTTTTTCTGAAGGAACATTTTTTAAATTTTATTTTAATTAATGTAAAAAATGCTTTTAAATGAGAATTTGCAAATATATCAATAGAGAGTATAATATATCAATAGAGAGTATACTATGATGATTCCCACTTACCCATCACTCATCACTTATCAGCATATGGCTAATCTTTTTCATATATAATGCCACCCACTTATTTTGACAATCCATGTATACACAGGGTTATTTTGAAGCAGATCCCTATTGTATTATTTTATTTGTAAAACTTGAACAAAAACCTCCATTGCAATGGCAAAAATGAAAAAAACAAAACTCAGTTGACTTAATTATTAAGTTTCAGGATATGAGCAGATTCAGAATCCTAGAATTTTAAGAATTAGAAGGGACATAACAGCCATTAAAGCTGTTGTCAAACTCCTTAAATTCTTGTGCTCCCTCCAGTCGGATTCATGGCTTCAGCCATCTTCTCTTGGATCTTGCTAGTTACATGTTTATTTAACGTTATTTACCTAGGTGACTAAAGCACTTAAGGAAAAAAAGATAATTTTAGAGAGAAAATAGAGCAAAATGGCCAGCATTCAAATCACTTCTACTTCTTCAGCTTTCAATATTTTATTTAAATTTGATTTTTTTCCCTTCTAACTTTATATTCATTTTAGCTTTTTAACTGTGGATTCTGCCTTTTTCCAGATATGTATATGAATTTTTTCCACTAGGCATATGAATTTCAACACATTTGCTTTCCTTGAAATTATCCAGCATATCCTTTTTGAGTTCTTACTATGCGCACATTACTGCTACTAAGCTTTGACAGGGCATGGAGATTAAAAAGATAATATCAGACCTTCACAGAATTCATTGTTTAGTGTATGTAAATAACCCATTTTATGAAATGCATATTAAAACATAGTTCTTATTCAGTGAATTTTAGTTAAGGAAATCTTGTTTCATGACTTTCAGTCTAAAGTCAGTGAGCAAATGACACGTTTCACTTGGGGAAAAAAAAGATCACTCCATATCCCTTTTTCCTCGCTCACACTTGAATCTTTTTAGAAAAAAATTACCATCACTGTAATCTTTATTAAAACCTAGATATAGGGCTCCTGGGTGGTTCATTTGGTTAAGCGTCTGCCTTTGGCTCAGTTCATGATCCCAGGGTCCTGGGGTCAAGTCCCACATCAGGCTCCCTGCTCAGCCAGGAGTCTTCTTCACCCTCTTTCTCTGTCCCTCCCCCATACTCGTGCACTCTCTCTCTCAAATAAAATCTTTAAAGAAAAAAAAAAAAACCCTAGGTATAATAATAATGTCCAGTGTTAGAAACAAGTCAGTTTGAATTCATACACTTACTGTTCATGCCTTTTCATCATATGGCCTTTACCTTTCCAAATGTCTTTTCTTATTCATATGCCCTATGTCTTAGTAAAAGTTAATACTTGTTTTTACCCATAAATCCCCTACTTTCCTGTAGCCCCATGCCCTTACTCATGCTTTACCTATTGGCCGAAAGGTTACACACTATTTCTCCATTTCTAAATCTTACCTTTCATAGTCCAACTTAAATATCACCTTTTTGTGCAGATTGACCAAAACATAATATGTACATTTAGCTTTAAATGTGCTTATTTGTGATATGCTACTGTCCTTAGGTGGAAAAAATGGCTTAAAAATGAAAGTAGAGTTGAATACTCAAATTACATACATATAGTAGACTGTCACACATGATGTTTAAAACTGTTAATATTATTCTAAAATGAGAATCTATAGCATAGATAATTAAACATAAATTATTTTGTTAGAGATAGATGATTATTTTAGTTTCTGTCAAAATGATTTTCCATCAGCAAAGGCTTTCCTTTCCCAGGGAAAGCTTAGTATTTTAGATGTAGAAAAGTATATTGGAGTATCAATAGACAATCAAGCAATATTGTTTATGGCATGATTGGTCACAAATCAAATAGAGCTAGCCAAATGTGGTACAGTGTTGGTATTTCTTAGTATTCTTGATGTAAAATGGTAACTGTTTAAATGATGTCTGAGTTGTTTTAGTTCTAGCATTCCGAAATAGTCCTTTCTGTGATCATTATTAAATCAACATGACTCTTCTTTTATTAGGAGCCCCCACGCCCTGTGCACCCAGCACCCTTACCAGAAGCCCCACAGCCACAGCGTCTGCCCCCAGAAGCTGCCAGCACATCTCTGCCTCAGAAACCACACTTGAAGTTAGCACGAGTTCAGAGCCAAAATGGCATTGTACTGTCATGGAGTGTCCTGGAGGTAGACCGAAGCTGTGCCACTGTTGACAGCTACCATCTCTATGCTTACCATGAGGAACCCAGTGCCACAGTGCCCTCACAGTGGAAAAAGATTGGAGAAGTAAAGGCACTTCCCTTGCCCATGGCATGCACTCTCACCCAGTTTGTATCTGGCAGCAAATACTACTTTGCAGTACGAGCCAAGGATATTTATGGACGTTTTGGACCTTTCTGTGATCCTCAGTCAACAGATGTGATCTCTTCTTCCCAGAGCAGTTAAACCTAGGAGCCTTTATCTCTTCCTCTTTTCGAGTTCCACTTTTTGGTCTTGTTTTAATCTTGTGCATGATATCCATTGTAAAATCCACATTGTGCAAGATTTCTTGGACAGATGTGTATATACACTACATTTGTTTATAATCAGAAGTAAAATAAACAGCCCATAAAGCAAGAATCTTTTCCTGGACAATTGAAGCTTCAGGGTTTTGAAATGTAAATGTGCACCTTGCTTTAGTTTTAAGGCTGGGGAATATGTGTGGGTGTTTATGTGTGTTTTTCCGTATTTATATGTTTACTGCAGTGGAATCTCCCATTTCCATTCTCACATTTACCCCTCTTCAAGTATAAAGTAAGTAGATCAAGGGATCCGAGGTATGGTATGTAACTGGCATGATTCTGCTTCTGAGGGATCTGTAGGTTCATAACTAAATGAATCTAAACAAAACCCAAGGAAAGAAATAAAAAGCAAAATGGTTAAATAGTTTAAACTAGGTTAATTTGAACACAGGAAAGGATCTGTTCATCTTTTTTCTTTGCTTGGTTGTTAATTAGGTGAAAAAGATCTGCATTGGCCCCTCTTTCCTAATCTGGCTCTTACATTTATTTTGTGCCTTAAAGATTAACTACTAAAGTAAACATGACCATTTATCCATTGTTGATCTTCTCTTTCAGCCTTTTGCCCTTCATTTCTCCTTCATCTCTACTAAATATAGCACATTCCCCTCAAGTGAGTTTTAAGCTTAAGGCTTTTAGGTATATTCTTAGCAGTGGCATCACTACATTTAACTCTAAAAATTTGACTGCTCTTTTCTTCTAAGAACATAAGTGCTTTTATCTTTGGTCACTACTTAAATTAACTGTGTAAAACGGACCAAGAGAAGAAAGACCATAGTGTGTAAGAAAATTGTCCTTCAAACATATTTTAGAATTTATACTGCATACTGTGTTAGAGATTAGGAAAGCAGTGCTAGTTCACTTTATCACCCAAAGCGTAGTATTCTTTCATAGGTAGTAAAATTCACAAAATATAGTGAGCTAAAATATCAAAGGGAAAGCTTTATTTCCGTATTATTCTCCTGTCATCTTTTTCTGTTTTAACCTTTTAACTTTGTTTTGATGGTGCCAAGTTTTGTCTGATTTACCCTCTGTCAACTTTGGACAGAATTTAAAGTATATCCTTTGGGGTTATTTTATGTAACAATTAGATAATACTTTCTATGTGTCTCTGTTCCTGTTCAGAGTTAATCAAATTCTGTTTAGATCATGGATTTTCAGTATGAGTGCCAGCTCTACTGGTATCAGGTAGGTGTTCAAGTGTAGGTAGTTTAGGGCAGGAGAGATGGGGTAAGTTTGGGGATGAGAGTATGGTTGGGAATAGTTTGAAAGAAATTCATGGAATTTGTGAAATAGTTTTTCAAGGCATCTTCCCTTACCATATTTGAATTCATATTCCTACCTTCTCAAAATAAATACATTTTTAATTTTTCTTGGGATTATAGGAGGGAGCTATCCCTTCTATTAATGCTGCTTTGTTTGCAGCTTTGATGGCTTGTAATGGGAAGCATTCTAGCTGTAAAGAAACTCTCATTAGAGACTTCACCGGTCAGTATACTGTCACATTAGGTGTGAAGTTTGATTGATGCTGAAGAAAGCCTACAGATTGCCAAAATGTAAGTGCTCCAGAACCTTCCTTTCACTTTCAGAAAATGAGACCACAATGAGAATTAAAGTTTTCATGAATCCAGTTTGCCAACCAACCACATAGATGTTACTCATTCTAGGACTAATGATGATGGTAAAAGAAGTTGTCAGTGTCATGCCAATGAAAATTTTAAAAGGGAGAAACTGATGATCTTCTAGCGTATATGAACACCTATCTATGTCTGCATGTATATATGTTTTTACCCACAATGGTGGCATTGTTGATTATGTGTTCAAGATCATTCCTGTCTACAGAATGGAAAGCCTGTGTTCAATTAAAAATGTTCTTTATTGGCCGGTTTTATGGTCATGGGATGACAATTTGCTTACCTAGCCTAGAAAAGCTTCCCTTGGTGAATGTTTTTATTTATATTCACTAATCATTTTTTTAAGCTTTCATAGCATTATATAATCAGATGAAGAAAGCCCAGTAGAATGAAAATATTATTTTAGCCTATATTGTGTGTCTTCTGTCAAAGAAAAAAAAATTCTCAAATAGTAACCCTAAAAATACACTTACTACAGCAAAATAAAACTTTTTTTATTCCAGATGGTGGAAGGAGGGTACAAAGACTGTAATTATTTGAGGAAAGTGTATATTATGAGTTTCTTTCCTCAAATTAGCATGCCATGGGATTTATAGGCAACAGCTATATTGAATTTACTGAAAAGTGCTAGGCTAGGACTATAGGCATTTGTTTTGGGCAGGTTTTGTTGATGAGCTCTGACTTTGTCTTGTTTCTTTTGAGAGAGAGAATGGAGGACTCAACTAGAAATAGCTACTGATTACAAGACTATATTGTAGCAGTTCATACTCCATGGTACCTTTTCACAAAGTATTACAAATAAGTTTGATTATCCCATTTTGGGAATGCAAGTTTGTTAACAGTTTTAGCCTGACAGTACTTGTGTACAAGTATTGCCTTATTGGAAATCCCAAAAGCTGATATTTCCACCTGAAATATAGGATGTTCATATGGCATTTGAAGGTAATGGTGATGTTTGTTGCTGTATGTTTTGCACTTTGTCAGAGTGATTTTCACCCTGTTTTAAGTGTGAGTAAGCCTCTTTTTAAAATTATGTTCTTGCCAGTTAGTTTATAAAATACAAAGACAACATCTCTTGTTAACTGTTAACTTTCTGAGGTAACCATATCCCTGTTTCCCTGGACTTGCTTTAAAATATGCAGAATACTGTGTACTGTTTAACACAGTAGATGTTCATGAGAGAACTGAAGAATACAGCTTTCTTCCTTGAAAAGTGCATATTTATTGGGATGCTGTTTGCCTCACAGAGAGTGTTCCCCACTCAGCCCACCCCCATTTCTGGATAGTAAATGAAAGATTTAATTGGGAAACATGACCAAAAGCAAGGAGCTTAGAATTTTTGGTACATCTGTCTGCAAAATTCCTTAGGCAGGCTGCACTACACAGTTCTCTTACTGTATTGAGTAAGTGTTAACTTAGTTTTTATCGTTTGCTCTTTTGCTTACATTTTCCAAATTATTTGTGCAGCAAGGTGAATGTTAATATTGCATGATATGCGTTTACCTTGTTCCATGGATTTTCCAGTACTGTACAAGATTAACAAAATAATGCCTGTGGTATCCTCTTCTCTTTGGTACACTGTGATTTTAGCACATTAGAGTACTGAAAAGACCTTCCAAGTGTTCTCCCCAACTTCCTTCTTGGGCTATTTCAGAATCATATGATTTATTCGTTATTTTAATTTTATTGTTGACCGGTCGTTGGCCTGTTTTATTCTAATTTCCAGAAAAACCATGCCCCAATATTGGATTCTTGAAAATAATTCTACCTAAAATCAGTGCAGGATTCTGCCTTCCTTACTATTTACTGAGTGATGCCCCCTCCCACTTTTTAACATTTTTGGACAAACAGAAAGAACAATCTCATGAAGTGTTTTTGTTAGTGTGACGGACTTAGATCTAATTCCTAAAATGCATTCCCCTTGAGCCAGCCAATGGGGAGGAATGATAAAACACATATTTTGTCTTCTCCAAACATTTTATCATGCTACATAAGTTTTTTTTTTTTTTTTTTCTTTTAGAGTCAGCTAAGTACCCATCATTTATATTTAAATGCTGGGAGTGGGGGGTTTTTCTTTTAGTTTTGTTTGTAAATAAGGTAACTGGGCAATCAAACACCTTTTGGGGATCCTGGCTTCATTATTTTCTCTGCTATTTCAAAATTAAATATAAAAATAAATCCTTTGTAGGAAACTTGCATCCTGATTTTTCTTTATTGCAGTTGAAAGTGTAAATAATAAGACAATGTAAGACCTTCCTAATGTCTAATACAAACTGGGCTATAGCAAGTTGCCCTATTTTTATTAGGTTTTGAAGGTTTTGTGGGTTTTTTTTCTTTTTTAAATGTACAGTAGAGTGGTGTCTGTATAAGTGTTAACTGTAGTGGGATTTTGTCCAGCAAGCCTGAAATTTATACTTTGAAATAAACTACTGGGTTTTTAACATTTGAGTATTCTGATTCATTCTAGTTATTCTCAGCCCTTGTGTTGCTTTTGGAAGTCTCTCACCTTGTTAAGAATCACCCATTATACTGTATAATATGGTTTATTTAACCCACTTGGCAATATCACAGCACTCAAACAACATATCATTCTCTAGCTTTGAAGGAGTTATTAGTAGAGTTGCTCCCAGATTAGATATGCTACTTTTAACTGATGGGAGACCACATTAAGGTTATATTGTGTGCCTAGTCTGTACCACGAAAAGACTCAGCTGGTGCTTGTTAATGGCCGGAAGAATCACTAACTGTATTTCTATTAGAGGTTCCTTTGAAAACGAAGCTCCACCATCCCCTAGGGCTTTATCATTAAGTATATCCAGCCTGGGGAAGGATAAAAAGCATGGAAGAGTACAGGGCCTTAGGGGCCAGGCCTGGAAGTGAAACTAGTATCAGATTCCTTGGGCAAGAACCCTATCACGTGGCACAGCTATCTAGGGGAACATGGGAGATGAGGTCCATGTGGCCAGACGTGAAAGGAGAAGATGGATCTGGGTGAGTAGTTTCTGCCATACCATCTTGTATATGAACTTGTATGCTAAAGCCAGGTATTATTATTTATCTTCTTTCTTCTACAGTGTGTCACCCTATAGAGAATGTTGTAAAAAAACTACAAAATCAACAGAAAATGAAAGTGACAGGCTGAATTTAATATATTTTATTAAGACTAATTCTGAATGGAAAAACATAGCTAAAATAGTGCCTTTGGAATCTTATTTGCAACCTTCTATTCCCTCAACTCCCTCCTTCATTTTATGTCACGTTTCAAAATTGGTTTCATGGTAATAAAATCAAAGTCATAGGTCTCTGGCATGCCCTTGTGGAGAGTTTTGTTGAAACGGCTCCAGTGAAAAACAGGGAGGCCGCCTTGTACTGTGGGACCACTAATGGCATAGGCTGTATACTCGGATGCGAGGTAGATGTCTGCCACCTGGAAAGCGAGAGGAGAGGGATATTTTAGAAAAGCATTTGGAAAAAACTAGATTCCTGTTTTTCCTTTTTTTGTCCTCTTTTTCCAAAGTCACAATATTAGCCCCCTTTTAAAATAAAATCTTGCAAGCTTCCACAACATGCTCTTCCATAACCATTTGGTATTCAGATGTGAATTGAGTAGAAGTGCATTAACATAGCCAAATTCTGAGATCTGGAGTCAGAATGCTCATATTCAGAATTCTAGCTCCAAAACTTGTTTAAAAATAACCCCTATGAGACTCCGTTTTCTCATTTGTGAAAGGGTTTTAATAACCATACTTCATAGAAGAGTTGTCATGGGGATTAATGAGAGCAAATGCTTGCAGCAGTGCCTAGAATATATTCTTCAGCAAAAGTTGTTACTAATCAGGACTGTAACAAGAGTTTTAAAGTAGAAGGAACTCAACATTCAAAAACGAGGTCCATGG